GTGTGTGTGTGTGTGTGTGTGTGTGTGTGTGTGTGTGTGTGTAAGGGTGGAGGGAGAGTTAGTATGAAGACACCTGTCCATTAGCAACTAGATATAAAACATCAGTTCACTTTCATAAACTGAATAGCTCTGAGATGATTTGTTTAAAGGGGTGGTATGAGATGATTTAGATTTGTTAGAGGAATAGGAAGGAAGGAACTGGATAGGAAGGCTAAGTTGGTTCTGTTGATGGTAAGATACCGTTATACAAGTTAAAAGGGATTAGACTGGTTTCAGGTATATGATGTGATTAGACTAGGGACTTGGGCAATAATAGTTTTGGTCTGCCTTTAAATTTATAATAGGCCTGATTAAACCTGTCTTTAAATAATCAGCTTCAAAAATCTACAAGATCATTCTGAATGGCCCTTTTCATATAGAAAGTACAAAGAAAGCTTGATGTTTTCCCTCTTAACTGATTGTTTTGGATAACAACCTCCGACAGCACGCTGCTAATTCATTCTACTTAAAACAGGCGCTTGAGCTGGGCTGACATTTTATGCAGTCTCTGGGGATCCTGGTTGACATTTTAAAGGGCTTCTAAGCATTTTATAATACCCTAAAATCTGGTTTTAATAATCCATTCTGCTGAAATTGTTAACATAAGGAATCACCTTTTACTGTTTGGCGCTAGATCAGGGAGATATGGGGACATCTTTTTCTGATTAGATATACAGTAGTTGGAATAAAATGTGCAAATTCATTACAGATCCTGTAGAGGTGACAGACAGCATAGCTGACTCCAAACTCTTTACTGTTTTGCTGCCAGATATAGGAAGAAATTAGGTTTGAAAGCAGTGAGAGAAGTTGCTCCTTTTTCTTCCCAGCATCACATTTATTTTTTTTTCTAACCTTCCTCCTCTGCAATGGAGAGGGATGCCCTGATGTCCTCCTCCTTGACAGAAATGTTACAAAGGTCTTCCCTCAATTGCGAAAGGCCAGTCTTTTGAAGTCAGCAGGGAGCTTTGCTGACTTCCCTGGCAAAGGGTGACTAGAAACTTACAGATCAGACAAGTATTTGGGTCTCCTTCTGAGAAACCTTCAATTTTTCTTTAGTGCTTTTTTTAAAGCACGGCTGCTACTGACTGCCGTCAGAGATCTGCATTGCTATTGAAAATGGCTCAGATAGGGTTGTCACTGAGCAGGGGTCATTTTTATAGTGAAATGAGGAGGTGTCCTTCTTAGCATTAGAATTCTCTAGGGATTATGTTTGACACTGCAGAATTATGTTTTGAGCATAAAAATTAGATACATGGATTTGTCACTAAATTCATCTGTGCATACGCTTGTCATCCATCTGTTCAGTGCAACTTAAAGTTGCAGTAATGATTTTATTTTTTTTAGTAAATTGTTTAAAACGTAAAAAATCATCTGTTGGATCTCTTTAGTTTATTTAGGGATTAATTTATTGTTGAGAAATTTCTGTAAATATTTTAATTGATTTTAGAAAGAGATGAACAGTTTACATAATGTGATTAAAACAGATAAAAAGTTACCCCCCCAAATTTCTACTCCAGTATTCTTCATATGTACAAGCACATTTCTAAAATAATTCATGCAGGCACCTGTCATAGGGAATTTCAACCCAAGCAGCTGAAAGTTTGGCGCAGTTATAAATGACTTAAAATAGGTTCTTAGAACAGAAACTGTTTGGTTAAACTTATCTCTGGGCAATGCTAACAGCCCTCCCCATATCTCCATTGGATGCACAGACCTGGATGTGCACATGTCTGCTTGTACATGTAGATGCTGCTTCAGTCCTGATGATGAGGTTGATTGTTGATGGTAGCTTTGATTCTGCAGTTGAAATCTTGCATGCATCCCCCTGACCCTGTACAGGCCTCCCACTGACTTCACTTACATCCCCTGGGCAGAATCAGGAGACACAGGTCTTAACACAAGTATCAGGGTCAGATAGACTTTAGAAGCTCATCATTCATCCTGAGACCTACTGAAACCACCAGATTTTGCATATTAATAAGTAAGCAAATAAAAATGATAAACAGAAAATCAAGACTACATCATCAAAAAATCTGCTTTTTATTTATTATGACAAAATTAGTTTAGTTTTAGTTATTTACAGTATTTCAATACATACTAGTAAATGAACTTTAGTGTATTTTGTAAAAACAATAAAGTTATAGTAATAGGAGGCATCATTTCAGGAGGCAGCTATTAAATATTTGCTCGGAAGAGAAGCGAGACTGCCAGGATTTTTTCACTATTTAGTTTGCAGCTTAGCAAGGAAAAAATAACAATGGCATTTATGTATAAATGTTGTATGTGCAACTGTATGTATAAATATTACAAATCAAAATTCAGTATTTATGGCCCTGAGCTGACAAAGATTTATACATATTCTTAACTTTATCCAGTGTGAGCAGTTCCTAGACAGAGGTCTGTCTGCCCAGATCCACTTGCAGAGCTGGTGCTGCAGGAATTTATCAACACAGTAAAGGACAGTGAATGGGTGGACAGAACACTGTCATGACAATTTAACAAAGTTGATTTTACTTTATATTTGTGTCTAAATAGACGCTCCGCATCCCTGACAACTCAACTCCTGCTCAGTGTATATAAAGTAATTCATGTGTGTACAGTTTTGCAGGACTGGGCCTATTTTAATTATTCTGTTAAACTTTTCTAGGATCTTTTAATTTTAATTCTTTCCCTGTGATGACATATTATAAATATTAAATCTAGTTTTTGATATGTATCCTGTTAACCACAACTCTGTTTTGATATCAAGATATTTATTGTTTTAGTAAATACAAAATGATAATGTTATTTGTTTAATGTATTGGGGGAGGCCAAGATAACTCTGTAATTCTAAATCTATCTAACAGTAAGTCATTTTATATTGTAAGACACTGGAAGTTCGCTAGCAGGGCAAATTGTCACCAATAATTGCACATAGGAATGCCAAGCTGTTTATGTATATCCACCTTAAACTTGTGTTTTTAATTCTTTTTACCCCTTCTGTTCTTTCTATTGATACACATATGTACCTCTGAAGTCTCACACAGCCTAACTTTTTGGACCAGAGTCTGGTATAGCTTGTGGTATTCTTTCTCTTGTCTGACATTTAATATTAATTTTGCTCAACGTCTGTGAGGTTTCTAGCTTTATTATTTATAAAAGAAAACAGTTTGTCAGCAGAAACTCGTGTTTTAAAAGCAACAGGAACTAAAGTGGTTTGTGATTTGAGGCCTCTAGATTCAAATGAATTGTATCACTTCTTCACAGTCTAGCAAAGCTACTGTGCTCTCTCTGTAAGGAATAGATTCTGAGAGCAAATTCACATCTTCATAATCCTGCCACCTCTTACAGGATGCAGCCCTGACACTTCAAATATGTTACCAGCCACCTTGAGCCCTGCTTACTTTTTATCATGGCTTTCATTCCGATTTATGGAGATTCAGCAGAAATGGTACTCTATACTCTTGTCAGTTTCCAGTTGTTTATCCTTGCATCAGCTAAACCTGCTCGCATCTAACAAGCAGCAGCAAGGAGATAGATATAGAAACTCTGTGACACATTTAGTAGTCATTTCCCTGTAGCAAAGTCATTCCATGATGGCTACTGCTGGGCTACTACCAAGCTGCTTTCCAAGATTTTTAAGGCCCAGCTAGACCAAGCCCTGGATGAAATAATCAAGTTGGGGTGCGGTCCTGCTTTTGAGCAGGGTGTTGGACTAGATGACCTCCTGAGGTCCCTTCCAACCCTACTTTTCTATGAATCTATGATTGTATGATTCTAAGATCATTTATGTAAAAGGTAAAAGGTTGTTTCCTTGCTCCTCCTCTGAATGAAGACATTATTTTCCTTAAATCGGTTATCTTGAGATGTGAAGTCATGGGAGAGCAATGTTCAGCCTGCAGGTTGTTGGCCTTTCAGAAACCCAGGCTCTAGTTTGGAATGGAGAACACTGAGGAGCCCACTCAGTCTGTGGGATCGGTCTTCCAAGGGCCTCTTTTCCGAAGGAATCACACTGTTTTCTTCTTTAGAAAGACAGAACTATGCTCTTTGTATCTGAAGACACTCTTGGGGGCACAGTGAGAGTAATAGCATGAGCTAAGTGAGTAAGAAAAAAGGAAAGTACTGACAATCAAATATGACATTATGAATCCGTTATTTTGAGAAATGCTTTAAACCATTTTTTTCCCAATAGGAAAATGGACTATTTTCCAACCAACTTTTCCTTATGGGGCACATGTTTCAAAGCTTAGTTTATCTCAGCTGCGTGGAATGGATCTTGTCCTGAAGCAGTGCTACCATTGATTGAATAATAGGCACTGGATAATGTATTGAGTGAATCTTGCTTTATTGTTTCAATGCTTTATCTATTTTTAAAAATAATGTCAGTTTATGGATTCCATGATTTTTTTTAATGAAATACTTCATTTCCATATTTTTCACCCAACTTGTGCATCAACACAGACAGAAAATAAATAGTGAAGCACTAATATTTTTTATTTATACATTCATTGCCCTCATGTTTATCTCTGAATGGTAGTTAATCATGTAGAAACTGCTCTTTTAATCCTCGGGGTTCTTTTTAATAACACATTTTTTTTACATAGAATCTTTCATCTAAATGAACTGGACTCTGGCTTGGTAGATGCAACAGGCTGTGAAGGGCTCCAGGCCTGGCAATGCAGAGCCCTAGCTCCATGATAGCACAAGGATTGCAATAGCTGTAACACCATAACCCCACACCATAACTCTACCCTTCCCCACCCTGACCCCAAATGGCAGGATGATAGAAGGACAATTACCTTCCAGGCCAAAGCCTAGCCATAGAGCACCTGGACAGCAGTAGACCCCTCTGTTACTTACACCTTCAGAGTATATAGGACTGCAGCTGGCAGAGGAAGGCCTATTATAATATTCTTCTCCTCCAACAATACAAGTTGTCTGCTGAGTGGGAATTTATGACTCTGTAGATGAGGAGCTCTAGGAGTTAAGGCCTCATTGAGACATACAGGACAATTCACACATCTCATATCTGTTGTTTCAGGTTCACTGCAGACAGGTAGACATCAGTTATAATCAGCTTGTGGTTTTTCTTACCACAAAAAAGCTGAAAATGCTTTTTTGATAATGAATGATTAGACATTGATATAATGCAGTTCTAACAGCCAGTACCCTAGACATGGATTTTTATCACTTGTGTCTTAGCCCTGGGTGGAACAGAACAGCCAGTTCACAGCCTACAGAACAGGCATTAGAACAGGAAATGAAGAATTATTCCAGGTCTTAATGAAATTGGGAGCGAACATAGGCAGTGAATCTTCCATACCTACCCTTATAGAAAGTGGCAGGGATTTTTAGTGATTACTAGTAGTCAGTACCTTGGGTTTCTGCCTCATCTGGGCACATGGGCAAGTTTTCCAACATTTTCTTTTGCCAATATGCCTCATTTAAAAGCTGACATATCTAAGAGCAGTATCAATAAAATACTGACTAAAAAGGAAAGAATGCCACAAACAAAACTACCCACAGCATTTCATGTACCACATTGCCATACTCTGGTTAATTTGATATCCGAAAAAAGGGCAAGACCTGACCTCCATTGTCTAAGTGGCTGACAGTCTCACAGTACAAAGCAATAAGTCCACTGGTGTCTTGTCCTGAAAGACATTTGTTTCTCTTACTTAGAAAATGTTTTCTTTTTCTGACAGGATCTCGCTGGAAAGCTATGACAAATCTAGAGAAGCAGCCATACTATGAAGAACAGGCCCGACTCAGCAAACAGCACCTGGAAAAGTACCCAGACTACAAATACAAGCCAAGGCCAAAGCGTACCTGTCTTGTAGATGGCAAAAAATTGCGGATTGGCGAGTACAAGGCAATCATGCGCAACAGACGCCAAGAGATGAGGCAATATTTTAACGTTGGGTATGAGACCTTCCAAGCATACTACAGAATCCAATATAAACGGTCTTGTTCTGGGGGTTTTAGTGTTGTAAAACCTGTATTTTATTTAAAAAGGCTTATATGTTTCAAGGCCTGAGACTCTGCACTGGAAGTCAGAGCTGTTCCTAGCCCATTGCAGTTTCTTTCCTTTATAACTTGGGCCAAAATTCATCTTATTTCCATATTTGTAATACAGAAATGTGATATTTTATGATCTTCAGATGAAGAACACCAAAAAAATGCTGAGTATTGTTTCATCATGGGGCTCTACAAAAGATAGGTGAATTAATCTGTGTAAGTTCATGTTGATTCCATTGATCCAGTTTGCAAAAGAACAACTCTGTACTGTATTGAATATTGAACAATGGCCCACAGTAGGTTGATCCTTACTGGTAAGGCCAATGCAGACAGAAACTCACCTTGAACACTGTCAGTCAGCTCACATTGGGCATGTACTAAGAGCCTGATGGCTTTTAGTCATGCCACAGAGATGTTTCCTCTACAGTAAAATGCATCCTTTGCTGGGTACAAGTCTCAAGAGGACTAGTTCAGATAAATATCCAATTACTTATTGTCCTGATTTACCTGTTTTTTCCCGCTAGAAGCCTGCCTGTGATTCCCTCTGTGAATAGTTTTTGGCTTAAGCTACAATAGGTCAGAAGCAGTAAAAAGAAAGACTTGTTTGGGTTTTTTTCTGTGTCTCCACCAGGAAATGGAGAGCTACAGAAAACATTGTGGATTCAAGTAAAAATATAGCTTCCAAAAAGATGGCATTTGGGTCCTGGTCAGCTTGGGTTGAAAATGGAATAATTTTTACTGTGATTGAACTGGGTTGTGTGTGTCTCTAGTTAATGTATGAGAGCACCAATGAAGAGGAGAATATCTCTCGAGCTGCTGCGAAGTGTCATCAGACAGTGTTTTAAACAGCTACAGTGTGCATTGTTATAATAAGCAGCTCAACAGAAAATTTGAGCTGCTTAACCCTGTGGCGCTGGCAGGTCCAGGGATCCCACTGGTAAGCATTGAAACAAACATAGGGAAGTCAGCCAACATTTGGCATCAAGAGATTAAAAAAAGAGGGAGGGGAGAGCCTTTTTGAAGAAGAATAAGTGGCAACAGAGCCCCCAAACCATTGCTTATCTGACCAACACGCATGCTTTCTAATTTTTTTGAAATAACCCTGCAACATTTTAAATATTCAACTTTCCAGATAAGTCTGACAAATACCACTTGAAAACAAAGCATTCTGGAAATAATTTGTGTAGGTTTTAGAGAAGGGGACTGAGGTGAGAAATCCTGTCTCTGTTGAAGTCAGTGGTAAAACTCCCATTGACTTTAGTAGGACCAGTGGGAGTCAGGATACAGTTCCCTTCCTGTTGCTGGCTCTGATTTGCCAAGTAACCTTGTGCAGGTCATTTAGTGCTGACTTTTTTTTTTCAGAAATTCAGCTCCCGTTCAGGAACCAAAATAACAGACCAGTTTTTCACACTAGGTGCTGATGAATTTTGTAACCTGTCCAGGACTAGGATATGAGTGATGGGCATTTTTTCAAAAAACTTTTTGTTTTCCTTTTCACTTTTCTCATTTGTAATAGATGTTTAATAATGCTTCCCTTGTGGAACCATTGTGAGCTTTAATATCCATAGAGTGCTTTGAGATCTTCCACTGGAAGGTACTAAAGGGGTGGAAAATAGTCTTTGATTATTGAACATTTGCAATGTTATGAAAGCCACCATTTAAGTGTAAAGTGCTCCTATTAAAGATTTAAAAAATTGAAAATCACTGAGTCCCATTTACAGAGACACTGATTCAAAGAAAATAATTTTAGCAGATGAGAAAAAGTAATTTATATCAATGACACAATATATATTGGTACAAAAATAAAACAATAATGATTGCAGATGAGATGGTGCTTTTGAAAGCAAGATGTTCTTCATCAATTGGAACAGTAAAAGCTAGCACAGAATAGTAAAAGCAGTTGTAAGTGGGGGTGGGGGTGGAGGAGAGAGGATTCCCAAGGGTAGTGGACAAACAATTAGCAGAAGAAAAGAAGCTGATTACTGGGAGATCAAAGCTTATCAAAAGGGAAGTGCGTCAAGGCAGAGACAGAAGTGACAATTTTTGCCCAGTCTAGCCCCTGATTGCGATCTACAGCTGTGACCAAACATAACTGCACAGCTGCAGAGTGCTTTAAAAGGGCCCGATCCCATGACAATTTGAATCCTCATTGCATGAGGGTTCAGATGAAGATGCTTCAAAATGGAGTGCCTTCAGTAACTTGTACCTGCGTGCACTGGAAGCAGGGCTAGGCTTATGCAGCTCAACCCTGCTCCTAGTACTGTCTTCAGAATGGGAGGTGGGGAAGGGAGTGGAGGGAGTTCAGTCTGCGGGTTTTTCAGCTGGTACTAGAGGGTGGGGTGGGTGGACTGGAGCCCCCTCCCCTGCCAATCTACTTGACCCACCCTCCAGTGCTGGTTGGGCAACCCCTAGAATGAGCTCCATCTGTTCCCTTTCCTCCCTCCCATTCTGAAAACAATGCCAGGGCCAGGAGAGGGAGAGGCATTGCTAGGGGAATGCAGCTGCAGGCTCACAGGTGCTCTAAACAGCAGCTCAATTCTCCAACCCCCAGAACCCAACAGCATATGTCTGTTGGGTCTGGGGGATTGTTGTCACTCATGGCACTTCCTGCAAAGCACCATGAGTTACAAAGGGGAGCTGCTTTTCTGTCTGTGCCTTCAATCTCACCTTTCATGTATTGAAAGAATCCAGGAATCAGGTAGGTTATTATGTGCCATAAACCAGTATCAGTGTTAAGTCCTTGGTTCCTAGTGTCCAGACAGCTTACGAATTTTTGTTCCCAAGTACATTTTTTACAGGTGTTAGTAGATTTCCCTTGAGCATGAGAATAGTGAGGTAAGAGAGTGGCTGGTCCATGAGAAATGTGCTCCTAATAGTGTCTGTGTGTCTTTATCATTTATATTTTTTCTGTGAGAGTTCATTCTGGTCTCTAGCTGCCATTTAGTTTCACTCACATAGTTGCCATTTAGTGCATTGAATCAAGTATTTTGGGAAAGGTATGCGTAGGAACCATGGAAGGTGAAGTGGCGTCCTAGAATGGCAAGCAGCAAGTATTTAAACATGTGGCAAGTAATTCCAAACCAATGTAAAGATGTTTGGCACTGCAGTCTTTCAGGATTGCTGTAGTGCACCAGGCTTAGTGTGTTGGCAGTACACAGTCAGGCTGAGGAACAGGGAAGGGTTTCATTCTTAATTAAGGATGTTTATCTCAAGAGATTGCACCCTGTCTCCTATGGCAAGGCTTTTCAGTACAGATGGACACACTGCTGATGACATTACAATGTGCAGCATGTACTGAAGAGCATTACTGCAATGGAATTACTTCATGCAGCAAAGAAACAAAAGGAGCATGAATTTTAAACCCCTAGGCTTGTTGGGACCCTGGAGCTTGTCAGGGAAATAAACACTGGTATAACACAGCTAGCATTCTTGATATAAAAAGGGAATTTCGATGGCCTAAAATAATTCTCCTTTCATTACCGCATACACATTCCCAAGGCTTAAGTGTCCTATGGAGGATTTGATCAAACACTCACATTGCTCGCTTGTCTTATTTATTTATTTTAAAATAAAGCATGTTAATCATTTTAAGTATTTTTCCCAGTTTCATATGCCCCCCCCTCAAAGAACCTAGTTTTGATAAATAGCCCTTGCTTTTGTAGGCCCAGGAGGTTGCCCTTACTTATCAAAAGCTGTGTTAACAGGCACTTCATAGCCAGAAAACTCTATTAACCAGCATCCGAGGGACACGGCAAAAGCGAAACTGGAAATACCACTTCCAGGTTTCACCATTGCCGTGAGCAGAGTTCTTGCCACTTGCCCATGGCCCAGGGCAAAGCAGCCTGCGCAGGGCCCCCCTCCCTGTCCCCTGGCACACTGACACCAGGGAGTGCACATTTGATTAACCAGAATATTTGATTAACCGGCATCCCCCATTCCTCTTTCTTCTTCTCTCCCTGCCATCCTGTAGACTTTCTTGTGCTACCTCTAAGGTTTCATGGAATTACCACATTGCAGGGCAAAGCGTCTGGCAATCACTCACCTGCTCAGGTGGGCCACAAACCACTTCTTGTTCCCCTTCCTTTTGTCCTTCAGGTTTCTGGATAAAGGGCTTATTCCAAGCCCGAATCAGGCTTTCAGCTAGACTCCCTGTTCCTTAGTCCATCCCACAATACCTATTCAAACAGTCCAGTCCAAGCTCCCTTTCCTAGCAGTAAAACACTGTCTTGTTTTTGGCCCCAGGTATGCTCTCCATCTTGTGATACTTGCAGGGGAAAGCTTTTTTTTTTTTTTAAGGGAGGAATATTTGTCATTGGCTGTGCACTTCTTCACCCAGGAGAGAACCTGGCATTAGAGGTTTCATAGCAGTTTCATAGTTTCCTGGTAGCTAGGGTCAGGAAGGACCTGAACAGATCATCTAGCCTGACCCCTTGCCACAGGCAGGAATGAATGCTGGGTTCACAAGACCCCAGACAGGTGATCATCCAACCTCCTCTTGAATTTGCCCAAGGTAGGGGCGAGGACCACTTCCCTGGGAAGTTGGTTCCAGATTTTGGCCACCCTAACTGTAAAATATTGCCTTCTGATCTCTAACCTAAGCCTATTCTCCATCAGCCTATTACCATTGTTCCTTGTTACCCCAGGAGAAAAGGACTCTACCTATTTGCTGTTGCTCTCTCCTGATGAGTTTGTAGGCAGTCATCAGGTCCCCCCTCAGCCTCCTCTTGCTGAGGCTGAACAGGTTCCGGTCCCTCAGTCTCTCCTTGTAGGGCCTGTCCTGCTGCCCTCTCACCAAGCAGGTGACCCCCCTCTGAACCCTCTCCAGGCTGGCCACATCCCTTTTGAAGTGTGGCGCCCAGTACTGGATGCAGTACTCCAACTGCAGCTTGACCAGTGTCGCATAGAGGTGGAGTATCACCTCTCTGGACCGGTTTGAGATGCACCTTTGGATGCATGAGAAGGTATGGCTGGCCTTGCTGGCTGCGGTCTGGCATTGGCAGCTCATATTCATCTTGGAGTCAATAATGACTCTCAAGATCCTTTTCCACCTCTGTGCTTTCAAAAAGGGAACTCCCCAGTCTGTATGTGTGCTGTGGATTCCTTCTCCCAAGGTGCAGCATACATACAGGCTGGGGAGTGAATGAACCCAGGTGGCAAATTTCAGATACAGACTCAGTTTCCTAAATCTTAGGGACATCTGCATCAGTTGTTTGTGTTAAGTCTGACTTAAATAACATGATCAGTTAATGAAGGTTGGAAGATAAGGATGGGGGGATTTGTGGTGTGGATCATCTAAGAACCTACCCCACCAATCTCACTATGATGTGCAGTGAAAGTACAAGTTGCTATCCTGCCAGTTGTTTCTTTCCTCTTCCCAGTATTTAAAATATGTTTTTATTTTTCAATTACAGGCAACAAGCACAGATTCCAATTGCTACTGCTGGTGTAGTCTACCCGGGAGCCATTGCCATGGCAGGAATGCCTTCTCCACATTTGCCCTCAGAGCACTCAAGTGTGTCCAGCAGCCCAGAGCCCGGGATGCCTGTAATCCAGAGCACTTACGGTATCAAAGGCGAAGAGCCTCACATCAAGGAGGAGATGCAGACCGATGATGTCAATGGAGAAATTTATGATGAATATGATGAAGAAGAGGATGACCCTGATGTGGACTATGGCAGTGACAGTGAAAATCACATTGCAGGGCAAGCCAACTGATAAGGGTCCAAGTATTGTATGACCTAAAGGACTTCAAGGAAAAAAAAAAAAGCCCCATCTGGTTAAACTTTACCAGTGGTCAAGCACATTAACTTTCTCATACACTGACTGTTACTTTAACTGTTAGTCTTAACTAGTTGGGACATCAGCTGTCTAATAGACATCAGCCTGCATCAAAAAATGAAAAAGGCTCAGAAGAAAGGAAACAATGACAACGACGATGACAACAACAGAAAGAAATAAGCTATGGGTAAAATAATGCCAGTAATTCAGCTGCTATACCCAAGCACTGAAGTCTTACCCGTCGACCTTTTATTATTATTATTTTTTTCAAATAAACTTTATGGCTGTTTGTTCTACAATGTTCTAGAAATTCTCACTCAGGTACACAGTGCCAACAAGTGGCTTGTGAATGTGTTTTGTTGTTTTGTGCTACAGTTTAAAGAGAAATAAGATTTTTTTTTGGTAATGCACCTGACAGGAAAAAAAAAAAGATAAAATTCCGTTTACCCCTCTGCCACCTCCTCTATCTCCTCTCTTGCATGTTTAGCATTAGAGGCACATGCACATGTGCATATGTCTGGCAGGGAAGAGAGTAGAGGGGAGTCTGTTTCTATAAACTCCACAAAGCAGTTATTTCCCTTCTAGAGAGGACTTCTCTTCATCAGTTGCACACCACACTGAGTCTCTGAGCAAGTGCCAAATTTGTACTGAAGCGCTGAACTAGTCCAGTTTTATTTTTTTTGATTGGTCTCTTTTGTTTTTGTTTCCTGTTCCGTCTTAAGTTAGGATATCATTATGTCTTAGACAATCCCTTGAAAAACCTGATATACCAGCAGCTGGTGAGATTAGACACATTTCTGAGTTTTTGTTTTGTTTTTTAAAGGAAACTGTAGGTGCCATTCTCAGGTGAAAAAGAGAGAGAAAGACGTAAGAAATTTAGAGAAAAATATTTTATGATCTTGGATTTTCGTGCGTGCATATTTATGGTACTAATAATATTGGACCATTGTGGACAAAAAATAACAAGTTCCAGGATGAAATCCCACACCCTGCCAATGATTCGGCCTGTAAGGAGCCTTTGCTTTTAATTTACACTTCAAATGGCAGCATATATAGAAGATTGTTCAGAATGTAACCTCACCTATTTATTACAGGGCAGGGAAATTGGAAGCATTGATACATAACATGAGCCTAAATAGATTAATCTGATGTCCAGTTTTAATGGACATCAGATAGCATATGGGGCTGTGTTCAGATCTCTCATCCCATAAGACAAATTTTAACTAATATTTTGCTCCCCCTATACATTGGTATCAGTTGGGTGCCTATGTATGGAGAAAAAAGAAAATATCAAAGAGGAGATTTAAATCTGGCAGTAGAGTTTGACCCACCCCCTCCCCCAGGAGGTGGGGTATACCCAGACTCAACAATTTGCAGGACTGCAGACCAGAAAATAACTATTTCCGCTATGCTCCAATAACATATTTTCAATACTATCCAGAGTCTGATTTTCTCTGTTATCTTACTTGTTAAATTCTTCTGTAGTGATATGTATCCTTGTTGAAGACGGTGGAGTCTCCCACGTGCAGCTGGGCAGAATTTAGCCCATTTTATTTTCCACTGAGTATTAAAAAAGAAAGAAAAACACAATGAGACAGAGCCTCCTTGTGTTTCCTGACTCTGATCCTCTACTGAAAAAGAATGTCCAGTTTTGTGTAGGAAGATGGAAGTTTTAAATCTATACCAAACGTCGCAAACGAACAAAAAGGCTACCTCTGATTTCAAATAAAGGCTATCAGAGATTTCCCCACTGTCCTAGGAAACAGTCTCATGTTACAGAAAGAAAAGCATTCCACCGAGGCACCTGTTTGCTAACATGGGGTTCCTTCCTGTTTCTCACAGCCGTAGTCTTAACTCACAGCAGGAGTCTCATCATTATCTATCGGTCTCCTTATTTGAGTAAAGACTATATGTTCATTAGAGCCCATTGCTAACCAAATAGAAGGAGGTTGGAGATGAGAGGGCCTGACTGTGCAAGTGGTCCTTGTGCCAACCAAATTTTAGACAGTAGAGCAATCAGCTCTCACAAATCCAGTTGTAGGACTGGGGCCTTTCTTTGCCTGAATAAATACCACTTGAAGTGTAACATTACTCTGCAGACCTTGCAAAGTAAATGACAAACATATGCCATGTAAGAGTTAGGACAATACTCTGACCATAGGTTTGGATACATGATATTTTCTCCCTACACCATCTATTTTTATTCTTTTACTTTTCTGCTTTTGATTTCTGCATCAAAAATTCTTTCTTTTCCACTTTCTCTCTCTCAAAAAGCTTGCTCTGAAGTTATGCTTGGAGTAGCTGATCCTCTCCTCCATGTCAGAGAGTTTGTTTTTTGGATTTTATTTTATTTTTTTGGTTGTATTTGAGGACTGTATTCTTTTTCAGTTGAACTGCCTCTTCTTGCTAGTGTTGTAATGGTAATTATAATAATAATAATAATGGTCAGCTGTTCCCAGATTAGTAAATTATGTATAATTTATTTTATTTCCCTTTTTCTCCTACTTTATTCTGTTCTGATTTGGCAGTATAGCAAATGAAGATGTTAAGATATTTTAAAATGACACTGACATACTGCTCCTTCCCCCCACTTTTTTTACATATATACATATGAAAAAAATCACTTCTTCCTCTGCTTACACCATTCCTTTTTCCTTATTTTAATTTGGCCCTAGTCATGTCAACTTCCCATGTTTATTATGATGGAGTGAATTAATGGGAGTGTTGTTTTCAATCTTAATTAACTTCTGCTCTCTCATCACTCATTTTAGTTATTTAATTACACCAGTCATCTAGAGCCAATTTTTGAAGTACTCTGTTTGGATAAGAAGAAAAAAATAGACAATTGTTTTTATATCATTATTATGTACAATGTGAAGACAGGTATTTGCTTCTTTCCAACCCTCTCCTTCCCCCCTTTTTTATTTTTAAATTTGGTCCCAGTCTTTGTGAACAAATTACTTCTGACTCTTGTGGGTTTACCTCACATTTGCTGGATACTTGATTTCCATATGCTCTGATTTAATTACATCACTTTGGGCTATGAGAGTACTTTGTTTTAGTTCCAGGTAGGTGCCACTGAGGCAGGTATGGTTGGAGCAAATCTCAAGCATAGAGGGTGAAATCCTGGCTGAGTGAAACCAATGGAAAACTTGCCTTTGACTTCAACAAAACCAGGACTTACCCAAAAACTTTGGGCTTGAGCCTGCAGACCTCACTCATGGGAGCAGCCTGTGAATGAGAAGTACTTGCATACAGGTAAAGGCTGCAGGCCTGAGCCCTATTTTAGATAATGGGTGGATATGAAAGAACTCCTTTTGGGGGCGAGCTGTGCTTTATATACCGTGTTGTCCTTGACTAAGGTTCAGAATGAATGCTAAAAAGAGAAAAAGGAAAATGCTTACATACAAATGTCAGTCTGTGAAACTATGCTAGGTCCTGGGGTTTGGTCAAATTTTCAAATGGGTAACTTGAACACACTATGCACTCCCAGCATGGGGATGCTGAAACTGATGCAGCCACGTAAAAATGGCTCTGAGGTCTCAAGACAAAATTAAAATAACACTGAATTGCTTTGCTGGATCAGAGCCAGAGTGCCCATTTATGTGTAGTGAAACACCCATGTTTGAAAATGTAGCCCTGCTTACCCCATTTGATTTCTTTAAAGAAAAAATGGATATTTATAGAAGGTGTTCTTGTCTTGTTTCTTTCTTTTCCTGGGTCTACGTGCCCTATGGTTCATTGAGAAACCAGGTTAGAAGAGATTAGGATAGTATTAACCTAAAAGGGCATAAATGGCCTAGCATATACATTGGCCTAACTCCCCTTTTTCCTGGGAATCGGGAGATTGATGATCTTGTTAGAATGTTGTGTTGGCCACACATTCTGTTTCCTCTTAAATCGGGGTAGCTCCTTTCTCCAGTACAGCTTGTGCACTTCTTAGAGAACAATATCTGAGGTGAGGAATAGGGGTAAAAAGAAAAAGAAAACGCAAGGCGCTGGCTTCTAAGCTCAATGAAATAACAGAGTATATCCTTTCTCAATTTCTTCATGCCTTATGTTAGTAAAATAGGATTTTTTAAGTGCATTTAACATCTTTATTTAACCGTTCCACTATATTAATCAGGACCCCAGAAAAGAACACTAGCTATTATTACAGCATTTAATTAGTTTGTAACCAAATCCTCTTATTACAAATGCATATGGAAGAAATTCTTTCTTCATAGACATTATTTCAAAGATTTGGTTTATGCAGTAGACTCTTTTTAATTAAATCATTTTTTAGAAAAGTAAATTGTCTTTAACCTTTTTACAGCACATTTTCAGAGCTTTTTCTTTTTTTAATCCAAAGAGATGAGCTGTTATTGTCCCCGAAGAAGCCTCTGACATCACATTTGTAACATCAAAAATAATTATACTCAGTGGAAACGTGGACTTCACTTAGCAAGAATTCATCTGCTAGAATTAATGGCAACTACATAATATATCAGATGTTTAAGGGCATGGTTTATCAAATATGAAATATTTTTGTCTGCCCACTTCTTGATAGAATCATATCTTCAATTCTGCAAGGATATGTGAATAATTCACTAGATGTGGATTCAAGTATATCCTCAAATTCACAGGGCATAGGGTGGATGTTTAACTTGCTTTATATTTACATTTTTTTTCAACTTTATCTTAACTTGTCGGTTTCCCAGATTGAAGAACATGTCAAGTTCGTTTTTCTACTGACTGATTTCTCTATTCCCCAGTGTTTTTTGTCACTGGTTTGCTGAAACAGTATTTATATAGCTCCATTGGCTCTAAAGCTCTTACTCCTTCTAACATTTTGGATTTTACAAGTGAAAAGAAAATAGAAAAGAATATAGAGACAATCAAATGCCTGGAGCTTAAAACAAAGTATGTGCAACCTACCATCTCACTTGAAATTTAATAAAAGAAATAATTATGTAAATATAACATAGAGTTATAGATTTATATTTTGTTCATAACACATAGTGTAATATAAGTTGTATATTTTCATGTTTTGGTTTTATGTTATCATTCATGCCACAATAAATAAAAAACAGGAGTTGATGTACTCTTTAAAAAAAATGTGGGTTGCCACCATCCTGGTTTTTCTTTTTCTTTTTTTCTTTTTTTCTTTTTTTCTTTTTTTTTTTTTTTACTTTTTCCTTTTTTTTTTTTTTTTTTTAATTCCCCTTTTTTT